TTTTGGTTCCCCTCCTATAAGAATTTTGTGGTGAGACAGCGTAGAGGACAGTAGCCGAGCTGAGTGGGCTCCAGTGAGGCCCTACCTGCCCAGCACCTTAATGAAGCTGAATTGCTAATCTGGGCTACGTGATGGTGTTGGTGTCTCTAGGTGGGACCAGGCAAGGAGCCCCCTTGGGACTCTTGGACTGCTGCTATGAACTGAGGGGGGAGTTTGGGGGAAGGGTGAGGCCAAGCGACATTGTCACTGGTGGGTGGGAACTTAGGGAGTTAGAGGGACTGCTGCCAAAGTTACTGGGGTGTGTGGGATATTTTACTCTTTATTTGTATATCTGCCATTGCTGGGTTTTCCCACATTTATGGCTGTGTTCCCTTTCCCTTAGCAAAGAGTCCCTTGTTTGTACACAGACTCGGAGTGCTTGTGAGTGGGGGAGTCCTGCCTGTTAAGGGCACCCAGGGAGAGTGCATTAGCTCTCCCAGGTTTCTGGGTCAGGGCTTGAGACGGTTTTGTTGTTTGTCAAGTGGGACCCTAGATATATTGAACCTGGCTGAGGTGACTAGTGGGAGGGACTCAAAGGGTTCACCAGCTAAAGGGGGGCATGTGATCTCCCCACGTGACTCATCCCTGCCCCCCACGTGACCCCATCACGTGACTCCTCCCCACCCCACTCCCCATGTGACACCCCCACGTGACTTGTCCCCATCTCGGAGGCCCCGCACTCTCCATGTCCCCTCCCCATCCCATGTTACCTAGCGTGTGTGGGGGGGGAGCTCTGCTCCAATCCCCGGCATGTGTGGAGCCACTAATGCTCTCTCCCAGACAGCCTGCTGCCACGCTGGCCACGCTGCCCGTGGTGCTGCACGCAGAGGCTGCTTTCTCCCAGGGAGCCTCCAGCCACGCTGCCTGCCTGGGACGCTGCCCGTGGTGCGGCTGCTCTCTCCCAGGGAGCCTCCGGCCACGCTGCCCGTGGTGCGGCACACAGCGGCTGCTCTCTATGGACTGTCCCAGGCAAGCAGTGTGGCCGGAGGCTGCCTGGGAGAGTGCAGCTGTTGCATACTGCACCAGGCAAAGTGGCCAGAAGAGGAGGCGGGAAAAGTAGAGACTCTGGCCCTGCCTCTTCCTTTCCGGCTCTGGCCCTGCTCCTTCATCTCCCCAGCTGCCAGCTTGGCCCCACCCCGCGTTTTGAGGAGGGTCATGTAACGCCCCTCTCCCCCCCCAGGGGGGTCGCCATTGGCTGTCGTTAAAGCCCTGGGAAAAAGGATACACTAGTAGAGACTGCCTTCTCCTAGGTGCAGGAACAGTGCCTGGGACAGTGGGCTCCCAGTCTCGGTAGGGACCTCTAGGTGCTACCATAATACAAATAATATCAGAAATGAATTCAGAGTTTGTCTACAAATGAAAGTAAATCCACAATTAAGTAGGGTATGAATTGAAAGCGGATTAAGAATTCCTGATTAACTCTGCATGCTCACTCTTATTCTGGAAAAGAGCATCCACACGTGGAGATAATCAGGAATAACTCCCCGTGTAGGCAAGCCCTTAAGCAGCAGGATTCCAGCCCATCTGCGAGGGTTATATAAATCCCATCTGGTATTTGCGTACCACTAGCTTATGGTAACTGCAGTGCACTGCACATAACTGTGTTAATATGGGATGTGTGAACAATGACTACTTAAGGTGAGGTGGATTTTGATCCAGGAAGCCAGAAACCATGAACTGGCTGATTGTCAGAAGCAGTGGTGGCAGGGTAGATGACACCTGAAAGTGGAGAGGCAAAACTTACTTGCAGGCGCTGAACTGATTTATAGCAGCAGTAAAGAGCATTTTGGTTTGACTTAAACAGGGGCCTCCCCTGAAGTGAAGCCCATCTGATCTCTGGGGAATGCAGACTGTGTCATCCAGGGCTGTTGGTTTTGGTGGGCTAAACTAAAGCATCCACTGGCTGATCTAAATAAACAGCTACAGAGCCTAATTCTTTGGTGCCCTGCACTTCGTGTTGTCATTTACTCCAATGTAAAGTGTGTGTTAAACACTGTCATTCTGACTGCATAGCATTTTAGATTCTCTTTGCACTGATGCAATGGATAATTGCACCCACAGTCTCCTCCCTGCTTCTCCTAACCCTCTATCTATGCTAGAAATACAGGGCTTGGCTACATGGAGAGATTCAGGAAAATTAATCTTTAACTTTCCAAGTGGATTAGTTAAACTGCATTAAGCCCATTATCAGAGGGGTAGCCTTGTTAGTCTGTATCCACAAAAACAATGAGGAGTCCAGTGGCATCTTAAAGACTAACAGATTTATTTGGGCATAAGCTTTCGTGGGTAAAAACCCCACTTCTTCAGATGCATGTGTGTACACTCTTATTCAAAATTCATAAACTGGCCTTGTGAATTAAGCTAAACCGAATTTAGGCCACTTTAATTCTGAATAAGTGTCCACGTGGATTTAATGTGGTTTGATGAATCCATTTTAAATTCCCATCCTTTAGTTAATTTGAATTAACTTTCTTGAGTGTCCCCATGTAGACAAACCCAGTGGTTACAGCCATCTGGTTACAACATGGTTGCCTTAATGATAGGAAGCAGAAGGATTAAGGGTTAAGGCACTGGACCTCGACTCAGGTGATCTGGATTTAATTTCTGACTTTGATACAGGCTTCCTCCAATTGGCTTCTATAAGAGCAGGATAGATCCAAACCGGGATCATGCTAACGCCTCATCAAATGAGCCAGAAATAAATTATGACTTGTCAATAGAACACGTTTCATCCAGCTGCCAGTGCAGCTGTTGGCTGGAATCAGGCTGACACGCTGACAATGCAGAACAGTCCTGTTTAAATACCCCCGGGGGCACAGAAGAGGTGGCTGAGACCACACGTCAATCTGCCTTGCAGTTGTTCGGAGTTGTTCAGTACCTGGGTGAATCACTGATTCAGAATGCCGTGTCTCCTAAGTCCTCCCCAACCTGTCAATTGAGCCCATTCATTTAACAGCAGCCCACTCATGGGAACGCCAAAGAATTCAAACAAGCCTATGGAAGGCTATTGCAAGAGTAAATAATATGAAATCAGTGATGAGAATTTTTGTCTTTCTTGCCAGGAAAAGGAGAGGCCGATTTTGCTGTCACCACAGTTAGGGCAAGGTTTGTCATTGAGCTCAGTGGTTACAGGCGTGGCCCCTATATGTGACTCTCCACCCCAAGTCAGCTTAGGGCTGAACTGATGTCACCTGATCTGTTTTGGGAGGTTTATTACCACCTGGACTGACTCATTTGCCAGCGCATATCAGGGAGTGATTTTTCAGATGCCCTTCTGTATCTGCTTCAGCATCTGTTTACTTTAACATGACAATGAATAAAGAACCAAATAAACCCAAACCAGCCTGATATGTCAGCACTCTGGTCTGGTCAGGTTCTGATCAGGGCGTGATAACTAAACCCACAAAAGACTGTGTGTTTATTCAGTCTGGGACTGAAAAGAAAACCAGCAGGGAGAATGGTCTCAGGCTGGAACACAGGTAATTCTTTTCCAAAGGGGTTCAGAAAATACCACTGATGTAACATTTAATCTCTGCAAGATCATTTCAGTGGGGATACCAATGGCATTGCCCCAGTGAAAACAGAGCAGCTGTTGCCTGAGGGGCCTCTAAGATACACTGCCACTTGACGTATGTCCTGGAGTTTCCAGTGGGAGTGATGAAGGGGGATGACGGCATGACCAGTGCGGAAATGCTGCTGAAGCTTGGAGGGCTCATGGGTGGGAGTAGTCTGTTACACTGATGGAGTATCTCGAGGTGTATGGGGATTGTTTCTTAACTGTACATTTTACAGGGTCTCCTCAGCAGCTCCCAGCTGATGGAGTGAGCAGGCAAAATAAAAATGCGTTAATTGTGCCTTGAGCAAGGGTGGGTGTGAAAGCAGCATCACCCCCCGCTCCCCCATCCCAGTAGCCCTGAGAATCGCTGTGCCTCAGAGTCAGGGACACTCCATTGAGGAACAATTCCCTCCTTGCTTCCTCCTGGCTCTGGCAGGGTAATTATGTGCAGCCAACTGCTGACCTAAACCAGCAGCAAATTACAACACCCCCCCGCACACACCAGCTCAGTTGTGCTGGCCCGAGAGTTGGGAGCGAGGGGAGCTGCCTAGGTCATCCATTCCCTGCCCACCGTCTCCAGGGCGAGTGAGCAGGCATGGAACGCCTGTGTACGCCGACTCACCTAAACCCAAGCAGAGTAGCCGGCTCACACAGGTGGGGGGAGTTTGTATTGCCTTGCTGAGACGTGCAGTCCAACGCACAAACCTGACCCAGTAGTTCTTAGGCCTGGTCTACACACAGTTCTTTTGCTAGTTGAACTGTGTGTGTTAGGGCTGTGATTTTTTTTTATTTACTAGTACATTTAAACTGGTACAACCCCTAGTGCGGAAGCAGTCATACAGTTATACCAGGTGTAAGCACCTTTATTTCAGTACAACTGCATCTACACTGGAGGGGTTGTACCGATTTGACTGTTGTTTTTCTAAACTGACAGTCAAAGTGGTACAAAAACTGGGTGTAGACCAGTGGTTCTCAACTTATTACACATTGTGAGCTGCATATGCGGCTCACAATGTGTTACCTGTGGACCCCGACCCCTGCCATGCAGGGCCAGCCGGCTGCCCGCCCCAGACTCCGCCACGCGGCTGCCCCAGACCCCGGAGCTTGTGGGGGCCAGCCGGCTTCCCTGTACCTCTCAGGGCAGGCTAGCAGTCCCAGACCCCATGGGGCAGGCTGGGTGTCCCGACCCCAGATCCCCACCACGTGGGGCGGGCTGGCTGCCCCGACCCCGGAGCTTGCAGGGCCAGTTGGTTGCCCCAGACCCCAGGCCCCCAACCCTACGGGGCGGGCCGGCAGCCCTGACCCGGGCCCCTCCATGCCGGGCAGCCAGGAACCTGGCAGAACCGGCACACCGGCCAGCCTTTAGCACACAGCTGAGCTGGGCTGCAGCTGTGCGCTAATTGGGTCACATGCCGCCCGTGGGCCGCAGGTTGAGAACCGCTGTTGTAGACCATTCCTCAGCCTGAAATACAAAGGCAGATTAGGGCTTGACTCGAGCTTTGGTGTGACCCTGAAAGTCACTGGTCTTTCCCTGGCTGATGCTTGCTCCAGGGGAGAAGTGGCCTATAGCTGGCTACAGATTACTTCCCTCTCTGTGCTGGCTTTGCTGCACAGGCTGGCACTAAGGCTCTGCCCATTCCCTACCCACCCACTTGCTGATCACCTGCATGGGAAGAGAAGTGGCCCTGCTGAGGCGGCTTTCCCCCATGCTAAAACCTTCTGGGTGCATCGCTCACATGTAGCCCTTACTCCCCTCCCCTGCTTGGGGAAAAGAGCCAGTCTTGCCTTTAGATTGTAACTGGGGCTAGGCCTGAACCAAAGTCCAAGATCTGAACACTCCCTGACATTGTATTCAGAAAGAGGGCAAGAGCCTGAGGTTTGTGCTTCGGTATCACTGTCCTTACTCAGGCAAAACTGCCATCGAAGGGTTAAGTGAAAGGGAGTGAGGGACAAAGCATTTCCCCCTCTGATTGTATTACCGGAGTTAAGTCATTCAGAATTTAGTCTGCAGCATACAAAATATAGACTCCAAAGTATGTCACAGCCCTCGGTGGAGAAAGAAGTGGTTCGGGACTATTTAGAAAAACTGGACGAGCACAAGTCCATGGGGCCAGATGCGCTGCATCCGAGGGTGCTAAAGGAGTTGGCGGATGTGATTGCAGAGCCATTGGCCATTATCTTTGAAAAGTCATTGCGATCGGGGGAGGTCCCAGATGACTGGAAAAAGGCTAATGTAGTGCCCATCTTTAAAAAAGGGAAGAAGGAGGATCCGGGGAACTACAGGCCAGTCAGCCTCACCTCAGTCCCTGGAAAAATCATGGAGCAGGTCCTCAAGGAATCAATTCTGAAGCACTTAGAGGAGAGGAAAGTGATCAGGAACAGTCAGCATGGATTCACCAAGGGCAAGTCATGCCTGACTAACCTAATTGCCTTCTATGAGGAGATAACTGGCTCTGTGGATGAGGGGAAAGCAGTGGATGTGTTATTCCTTGACTTTAGCAAAGCTTTTGATACGGTCTCCCACAGTATTCTTGCCAGCAAGTTAAAGAAAGTATGGATTGGATGAATGGACTATAAGGTGGATAGAAAGCTGGCTAGATCGTCGGGCTCAACGGGTAGTGATCAATGGCTCCATGTCTAGTTGGCAGCCAGTTTCAAGTGGAGTGCCCCAGGGGTCGGTCCTGGGGCCGGTTTTGTTCAATATCTTCATTAATGATCTGGAGGACGGCGTGGACTGCACTCTCAGCAAGTTTGCAGATGACACTAAACTGGGAGGAGTGGTAGATACGCTGGAGGGTAGGGACAGGTTACAGAGGGACCTAGACAAATTAGAGGATTGGGCCAAAAGAAACCTGATGAGGTTCAACAAGGACAAGTGCAGAGTCCTGCACTTAGGACAGAAGAATCCCATGCACTGTTACAGACTAGGGACCGAATGGCTAGGAAGCAGTTCTGCAGAAAAGGACCTAGGGGTTACAGTGGATGAGAAGCTGGATATGAGTCAATAGTGTGCCCTTGTTGCCAAGAAGGCTAACGGCATTCTGGGCTGTATAAGTAGGGGCATTGCCAGCAGATTGAGGGATGTGATCGTTCCCCTCTATTTGACATTGGTGAGGCCTCATCTGGAGTACTGTGTCCAGTTTTGGGCCCCACACTACAAGAAGGATGTGGAATAATTGGAAAGAGTCCAGCGGAGGGCAACAAAAATGATTAGGGGGCTGGAGCACATGACTTATGAGGAGAGGCTGAGGGAACTGGGATTGTTTAGTCTCCAGAAGAGAAGAATGAGGGGGGATTTGATAGCTGCTTTCAACTACCTGAAAGGGGGTTCCAAAGAGGATGGATCTAGACTGTTCTCAGTGGTACCTGATGACAGAACAAGGAGTAATGGTCTCAAGTTGCAGTTGGGGAGGTTTAGGTTGGATATTAGGAAAAACTTTTCCACTAGGAGGGTGGTGAAGCACTGGAATGGGTTACCTAGGGAGGTGGTGGAATCTCCTTCCTTAGAGGTTTTTAAGGTCAGGCTTGACAAAGCCCTGGCTGGGATGATTTAGTTGGGAATTGGTCCTGCTTTGAGCAGGGGGTTGGACTAGATTACCTCCTGAGGTCCCTTCCAACCCTGATATTCCATGATTCTATGATTCATGCTATAAAACATGGCTTATATCAGTTTCAAGTTCAGTGGATATTAGCCAATGTTTAATTGATTTCAGGGTGTCCACCCTGGGTTTTGCACTGGTTTAACTTAAATGGGTTTAAAATCACACCTTTATTTAATCCAGTGGCAGTTTGAATAGGGACAGGGCCTATCTCTCCCACAATAACAAACCAAAAGGGAATGGGTAGAAGGAGAGCAGAGGTAAGGATCCATCTAACTAAATGTATAAGGTGCTCAGGCAGTTCAGTGATGGGTGTGGATATAAAGGCCTGAAATGGACTGGAAGATTCATAGATTCCAAGAAGCACTAAAGTGCCGGGGGGGAGGGTGTTTGATCCCCAGCTCTGCCCTAAGCCCTGCCCCCACTCCATCCCTTCCCCCCAGGCCTCGCCCCCACTCTTCAAATGGTAGACAGAGCATTTGCTGAGTCACAGCGCAAACAAAAATATCACACAGGCAGCTGCAGCCACAATCATTGCTAACATTAAATTTGCTGCCGTGAAATGTGTGTGATTGCAAATAACAAAAATCTGCTTCAAAGCTAAAACGCTGATCACTCATTTAGCTGTTAATATGATCATGATTTGCAGTCATACGTGTGGGAATAGTGTGCATTCGTTACAGTAACTATTGCTTTGGTGCCTGCAGAACAGTGGCTATTTCTCTGACTAATTACAAATCACACTTAGCTCATTACATGCAATTGCTCGCTCTGCACAATTTGCATTTGCTTTTACAATGATGGGGATTTGCAGGGGCATTTTAGTTAATGGCTGCTTCAGACAGTAGAATAGCTAGTCTTTATCTGATTCAAGGGCAACTGTTTTATCTAAACAAAAGTTATGCATTTTAATTATGTCTCTTGATATGGTTCAATGTCGGAAAGAGGAGAATCTTCTTTTAGATCAAGGCTTTCTCTGTGTCATGGACCCATACACGTTTATTTTTTAAATTAAATGTTAATTTAATTTATAGCAAAACCATCAACTTAAAAAAACTCACATTTCTGTCTGAAATAGATTTTCCTATTTTTTTTACAAGAAACACCTCAAATCAGCATAATTGACAGTAGAGAAATAAAATAGTTCCTCTAATTTTTCCAGTTTGTGTTCATTTGACAACTCTGTGTGTGTAGTCAATTTCACTCTTTACAGTTTGTAGTCAATCAGTTTCCCCTGTTATCTGTGTGAAGCTTTCACACAGCAACAGAAGAGAGAAAACTATTATAAAAAATTGATTGGTCAGAGGACTCGAGGACAATTTAGCAGCTCAAACTCTGAACTATTTTTATTTTTAAAAGAGTGACTGGATTTGAAGTTGGTGGTGTCCCTCTAAATATGCAAGACCAGAAAAGTGTAATGCGATGCAGTGATTCTTTAACACTAGCCACAAACATGTGCCTAACGAGCTTTATAATAATTATTAAATAGGTGTGCATGGCGCTTTCCAGATAAATTAAAAGACAAGCCTCCTGGCCTTGCCATTGGACTTGGATAACTTAATGAGAACTGACCATACACCAGATTGGAAGGGAATCCATATTTTAACACAAGGATTGGCAGAATTTTCCCTATACATCTTGTGATAAACCCTATAGTGAAAGCCTTGTCTATATACACACTTAAACTGGTCTACCTAACGGTGTGTTTTTAAACCTATTTAATTAAACTGGTTCAAGTTTGTGTCTAGATACCCTTATTTTGATTTAAGAGTGACTTATTTAAATTTAGCTTAATCTGCTTTTAAAAAGTGGATGAAACTAAACTAAAAAAAAAAAGCATTTCTTGACTCTAAATAAGGGTACGTCTACACTTACCTCCGGGTCCGACGGCAGGCAATCGATGTTCTGGGATCGATCCCGGAAGTGCTCGCCGTCGACGCCGGTACTCCAGCTCAGCGAGAGAAGTATGCGGCATCGACGTGGGAGCCTTCCTGCCACGTCTGGACCCGCGGTAAGTTCGGACTAAGGTACTTCGAATTCAGCTACGTTATTAACGTAGCTGAATTTGCGTACCTTAGTCCGAAGTGGGGGGGTAGTGTGGACCAGGCCTAAGAGTGTCTACATAGGGGGCTTTGCACCACTTAAATCAATTTAAAAACAGATGTAAGGCCTTGTCTACACAAGTTGCACCAGTTTAACTTCAATCACTTTTTTAAACCAATATAGTTAAATTGATGCAAACCCTTGTATTGTCATGGACAGGTCATAGGCAGCGGCCAGACCTAGTAGTCAGAGCCAGAGTCGGAGCTTAAGTAGGGCCAGCGGGCCGATCAGACCTCAGGGGCGGAGCCTTACACTGGGGCTGGACTTCATGGGTCTCCACTCTCAGATCAACTGTTGCCAGCAGGCAACTAGGTGAAGGGTTGGAGCATGGCTGCTCCCATGACCCTTGTGGGCCCAGGTTTGAGACAGGTGGGTCATGATCTGTACAGACACTCTTATTTTGGTGACAAGTTTCAAAGTGGTAGCCGTGTCAGTCTGTATCAGCAAAAAGAATGAGGAATACTTGTGGCACCTTAGAGACTAATAAATTTATTTGGGCATAACCTTTTGTGGCTAAAACCCACTTCATCGGATGCATGCAGTAGAAAATACAGTAGGAAGATATATATACACAGAGAACATGAAAAAATTAGTGTTGCCATACCAACTATAACAAGACTAATCAATTAAGGTGGGCTATTATCAGCAGGAGAAAAAAAAACGTTTGTAGTGATAATCAGGATGGACCATTTCCAACAGTTGGAGGCTGAAGGTGATGGCTAGTGGCATTCTGTTAGTTTCTTTGTTGGGTCTGTCCTGG